CTAAATCTCCTGGTTATCATTCCATTATTTTTTAAGTATGGCTTTTAAATCAATATTCACTATTCAAGTGTATTGTTCGAATCTTAAAACAAATAAAATGTAATCAAATTTGAAGATCTCGAAAATATTTTGTGATTTAAGCACTTTCATTAAATTATTTGAGTATTATAATTTCAATTATTTTTTCAATTCATTTCCGAAATTATGTCAGATAAATTTATTTTTAAAATAACGATCGATCAATCATCTCTCACTAAATATACATGTACCAGGCACTTGGAAATCGTAATCTTGCATAATTTTTTTCAAATTAATTTTGCAAATAAAAAAAGACGAAATGGCATTTTATTTAAATTTTTATTTTGAAATCGGCTGTATGATTTATTGAACGATAAATGAAAACACAATGCATAATTAACATAATATCAATGATTACTTTTAAATTCTTGGAAGCGATTTAAAACTTCAATGCATTCTCTAATCGCAGCATTGCATGTAAGTTTACGGAGTTTTCAACCGGGTTTTCTAAATGCTTTACTAAATAATCTCTGACATTGACATTCATAGCATAGCTATCTTGTGGTTTTATGGTTTGTAAACAATTTGAGCATTCTTTTTTCTCTGTAGCTTGCATACTGATCCCCCGCAAATTTATCTACATACCGCACAAATTATTCCTGTCAATTTGTCTCTAATCTTATGCATTAATTATGCGGTGTTTTCAGTGAAACATAATCAGCTCATTGTTTTTAAAATAAAAAGTGCCTAAAACTTAGCATTGAGGAAACAATTATGAAAGTGACATTAGTATATATTTGTTCAAGGATGAGAATAACGTTCCCAGTGGGCTTAGTATGTGCTTAGTAATAGCTTATAAAACTTCTAAGAATCTGAATTTACAACTAGTTTATAAAGTTAAACAATTAGGAAAAAACACAAAATGGAATTTATTTAAGATTACATTAATTAATTATATATCATATCCATATGGTTTATTTTTTGTGAAGCACAAGTTCAACAAAATTGAAATAAAATATTATGTTTAAAGTATTTAATATTTACTCCGACCTTTTGTATCATTGGTAAATAAATTCATTGATTAAATGAAATTTGAAAACTTTTTCCAGCAATGACATTTTTGTTCTGAATTAATCACAGTGTCAGGCATTCTATTTCTATTCTCAGTATAAATATCTAGTAGCATTTAAGGTCTTAAAAACATGATTTCAGCAAAATAGAATGCTATAAATTTAGACATGTCATATTCGTAACAGTTGTTCTGTGCAATGAGCTCAAAACTTGGTTAACATGAACCTGGTAAAAGTTTCTGAGTGTAAAGTGACGTCACAAAGGCACGCGATGACATGGATTTTCGGTGCACGAGATGTTATCGTCTGCTATAACGATTCCCGTGAACTCTCTTCGGGAAATAGAACCTTTGTTATACAATGCAATTATTTGCACTCATCCTCAACCAATTTTGTTTTACCTTGGACAGTCTGAACATTTAGATAAATATGATAAACAACAAACACTAATGAGATAAAATTAATGAGTATGTATATGCTCTATCAAGGTTGTAATTAAATTTTCCCGAGGTTATTTTTTCATACAACAAAGTCTTTTTTTACTTCCTCTTTTTTTTCTTTTTTAATTGCGATTAAAGGAATTTGAAACGAATACAGGCAAACGGAAAACATAAAGTACTTTTTTTTTTCAAAAACCCTTGATTTATTCGAATACAGACAAACGGAAAACATAAAGTACTTAATTTATTTTTTCAAAAACCCTTGATTTATTCCCCTAGTGAAGTACCGCTGAAGTAAAACATCTTGGAATGAACTAATCACCGATTCATGCAATATTTATAATACTTAAGGGTACATTGACACAGATTTGAATTTAATATTTTCTGTATAATATCATGACTTATATATTTTAATAGCATTTCACGCAAAAATAAATTTAAAAATTTATATTTCATCTTAAAGTTATTGAAACTTCAAATTTTTGGATGGGTTTGATTGACACATCCTTACACTCTCACAAATTTGACTTTTATTCTTAATACTTAGGAAAAGTGTTTTAATGAAAAATATTAAAACTTTAATCCAGAAAAGTTATTATTGCCTGACGTCATGGCGTCAGGCTGTATAAGGATTAATATTTGCAAGATCAGAAACTAATAGATTATACGTAGAGAGGTAGATTTTGTGCAAGCTGATTTACATTGGAATTCTTTACCTGCATTTAAAAAGAAACAGTTTTCAGAAAAAAGAATGATGTTACTGATGCAAAATACTTTAGTGTTTACTTCCTTTAATCACTCCTCATGCAGATATTGATTGATTTAGTCAGGCAAGCTCTTTGAAAAGCTGTTACTTGTATTCAGAGAAGAAATGTTAGAAAGCAAAACCCCTTCACAAGTATCGTCATTCCGCGCTAAGTTTTGTGTACAGAGTTTAGCAAATTGATCACACCCGTGAAATGTACACAGTTTTTGTAAACAGGGCACGAGCTCTGTTATTGTTGATGTTTACGATTCATCGGGAGCGTTCAATTGTTCAAGTCTGCTCACCACAACTTCACGGACTGACAATATATTGTGTGTATGTTTTGCCTTAGAACATTTCTACTCTGAATTTTCTGGATTATAGTTTTAATATTTTTCATTTTTACACAAGATTGCCACTTTTCCTAGGTATTAAGAATAAAATTAAAATTTGTGAAAGTGCAAGGATGTGTCAATCAAACCCGTCTAAAAATCTAAGTTTTAATAACTTTTAGATGAAATAAGATTTTTAATATATTTTTGTGTGAAATGCTATTAAAATATATAAGTCGTAATATTAACTTCAAATCTGTGTCCATGCACCTTTCATAAAAAGTGGATATATTTATGTTGAGACAATTAAATTTATAAGTAAATCTGACTTTGAATTTATGTTTGGTATGTACACGTTTTTACCAACACATATATGTACCCTAGCTAATGATACTAGTTCATGTTTTACCTAACACGAAATTAACGAGAAATGCGTGTATAAAATAATATAATCAATTTATAATTCATAAATATGTGATGAACGCAAGCTGCAAATATAATAACCAAGTAAAGAACTATATGCGGTATATTGCATATATTTGCCCCCACAAAAGTCAAATTTTGAAAACTTCCTGAAATGCGCTGAATTCAATAAATTGTATGAGAAATATAAATTAACAGAAAATATTGTAGTGTCAAAGCAGTGGATTCACAATTTTTGTTTTTATGACGTCACAAACTAGTCCGATTTTATATCCTTTTTCAGAAAGAGGACAAAATGGACAAAATTTCAACAATTTTAGTTTTAAAATTTATAGAGCGCAAGTTTGTTCAGGAACAATATTGACATATTTCATTGATATTATCATTCTACACATTATACCAAAATATTGATCCTGAACACACATGCGCTCGGTGACTTTTACTCAAAATATCCACGAAATATGTACATTTTTCTGTAAAATTCATAAAAAACTGAAATTTACGTCATGTTTGTGACGTCATTACGTACATATGGCGTCATTAATTATGAAAATATTCAGTGCTTTGAAGTCAGCATATACTCCCCTGTTTAAGAACTTAATTAAATATATCTCCATCAAAGTTTGATTTGGGGGGCAAATATTGGTTATTACCGAATAAAGTTCTTTTAAATGATTGTAATGTGAAAATACGTATTTTACGAAGAATGCAGTCGCCTCGTGGCAAAGTGATCTGATTGAATGTATGTTGTTTCAGCACATCTCAACATCCAGTTCGAGAACCTTTCACTCGTTAATTAAAGACGTCACCATAAACCAAATTTAGAACTATTATACTAGCAGGCACTCTGGGTCATTGAGCAGTGTGGTTCCTTATCGTACAAACGCCTGGTAATACATGAAGCCACGGTATTTTTGGTCTCATTTGAAGGACCCGTAACTTTCAAATCAAATTGCCGAGCGCTTGGCGGGGAACAGTTCCTTCCAATTTTTATCGACTTAGGGACTCAAACACAAGACATTCTGATCAAGAAGTGGGCGCTCTACAGAATGAGACGAAGTGGTTTGGATTCATTGATTGATTGAATGTTTTACGTCCAATTTGAGAATTATTTCTTGTTTCACTCAAATAGAGACATGCATCACCATATATATCGTTAAAGGACTTCACATTAAGACCTTTACTTGGCACTCAGGGCCATTGGGTAGTGAAGGTTCTTTATAGTTCCAATAACTACATGTGCCGTGAAACAGGGCCTCTGACTTCAAGGTCTCGTCCGAGAAACCCGCAAATTTAACATTAAAATGCGGGGCGCTTGACGAAAGAACAGTTGCTATTTTTTTTTCTAGGTAAGTCGCGTCTGGGACTCAAACCTACGACCTTCCGATCACGAAGCAAGCGCTTTACAGAATGAGACGAAGGGGTTAGAGCCTTTGATCTAAGAGTCGTGAGATAAGGAGTTGATTTTCTCGGCTGGGGTCCGAATCCCGCTAGAGCACTTCAGGGTACATGTATCTGTCCTTCTAATGTTACCGTATAAACTGAAGTCCTGTGTCGATGAAGAAAAAAAGAAACAAAAGGATTTCTCTTTGCTCAGTTGCAAAGACCGTTTAAGCCCTACACCACCTGGTCATTCAGAATGAATTGAGAGTTATTTGGATTTCAGTCATATGAGAACGTCACCGATACATATTATTATAGAAACTTATTTTATTATTTATTAAGCACATTTTGCAGGAACTTTTAACCATTATACATGTAACTGCTCTAAAGAAGTGAAGATACTAGTATATAAATAGAAAATTTATCACATTTTAAAATATAATAAATTGCATTGCAAGATATTTTCTTTTTTCATAATGTAGTCGGTTCCGAGTTTTTACTGGAAAATACATGTACTTACCTTTTGCAATTAATATTCAAAGAAAAATAATTTGTGTATTTATTTTGTAAAAATAAGACAAGCACGTCATACAGTAATCCAGGTGAATTTATTATGAACAAGACATCCAAAGACAAACTGCTCTTTATTCGTAAACATAAAATATAATCAATTTCTTCTAAATTTTATCTGAATACATTACTACCGATTTTGCAAACCAGTATGATTTTTATACATCAAATCACATATCATAAATTCTGGGAAAAAAAATGTGTCCGATTGTCCAACTTCGTTGGGTAAATAGTACGAGAGACCAATGAGGAAAGGAGAAATTCACATTTTTGAAATGTGAAATTTACAATGGAGATCACTGTTACACAGGTTTATATATGGATGTATTTGACCCGTTTATTTTATTTATAAAACAACAAACATTTCAGAGACTAAAATTTGTTTTTAAAAACCATTAGACTTTCTCAACAAAATGAAACAAGTTAAAATATATAAAAATATTTCAAATCTAACAAATACTACTGTATAATTTTTCAATCATATGTATGTACAAGATTATCGTTAAAATAATCGTTGTAAAAACTAATACTCAAATCTTTAAAAATGTCAACAATAATGTGTAACACAGTATGTTTAATTAAATTCGTGTACAGTCTTATCTGTTTTTATTTCCTAAAAATCCATTAAAAGAAAAAATTCCCCGTTTTCAGGAATTAACATTTGTTTTTTATATTTCATAAACACCAAAACCACACATTAAAATGATCGTTAACTGAATTAAAATGAATGATTATGGATTGCCAACATTTAACGACAATGTAACAGGAACAATGAAAGACAATATAAAAAGAAGGAAACAAACAACAAAGCACCAGAAAATCAGATCCGTCAATGAATTCATGTTAACAGTTATATGACCTTTGTTTGTAGTAGTTATTATGCCATGCACAATCTTGAAAAAAAAAAAGAAACTGTTTTTTCCATAGCACCCAGTAAATAAACATTTGACACAACTTCTCATGTAATTTAACGTCCACTGGACAACAATCAATGCCCTATGCCTTTTAGACGTTTCCTTTTCTACATGATCCTAACACAGACATACCAATAATGATCATTTTACAAACATGTACATTTAAAAAATACAAAGTTACATACACACCAAAATTGTTCCAACAAATTAACTTCGTATACATCATATTCTATTTTTTGTGTTTAATCTTTGAAGCAGACGACTTGGAAACCAATTCGATGTTGTCATGACGATACTTGACAACTTTGAGATCAGTAGACGGTTCCCAGGAGTTAAACTCGTCGTCTGTGGATTCGTCAGTAGAAGTCAGATCGAATACTTTAAGGGACGATTTACTTTTAACAATCCCTGGTTGACTTTTGTCTTTAACAAGCCCGCTTGTAGAAGGCTTACCAGAAGCCCAATCTTCCGAAAATAACTTTTTCTTGTATGACAGAGACTTCGAAGAATCTTTCTGTGAATTTCTTTTCGCAAAAGCAGTTTTTTGTTCAGACGACTTTTCTTTAGAAATGTTTTTGGGTGAGTGCTTGTAGGATTTTGTCGGTGAATTATTTTGTTTTTGAGGACTTTTTGTTGTGCTGGTTCTCGCTTGAAACAAAGACGATTCTTTCTGCAAAGTTTTTGAAGGTGAAGAGTTTGTAACAGTAGTTTCAGCACCATTAGACAATCTTATACAAGTCTGTATTAATTCTCCAACACAACCCTGGCTTACAGCAGGTAGTTGTGTTGTTGATAACATGGACAATTTTTGAAACAGAAGACAATTCTCCTTATTCTGAAGAATATCTTCTTTAGACAGTTCACTGATATTTAAATGCTCCAAATGCTTCAGAGCATCAGATGGTTTGACCCTGTAGAATTCGCATACATCTCTCACCAGCACAAAAGATTCAGATCTATATAAATAAAGAATATGGTAAAAACTATTAGTTTTTTTGCATTATTATCACCTATGTACATGTAAAACAGGCAAATAAGTATTTCGCTTTTTTATATAATTTAAAATACGGTTAAACTTCGTTATCTTGAACATTGATAAATAGAACAAAATGACAATGAATAATTGAAATGCAATCCACTTTAGTTTTTTATGTACTTTAACCCCAATACATCAAATCCTGAATATACCGACGTTTTTATTGACATTTGAGTTCGAGATAATGAAATTTGACTTTATTTATTACATTTTTTTTCTTTCAATGTCAACAAACCGCCACCAACCTATTGACTTCGCCATTTTGAACTTTGATCACTGGAAATAAAGGAAGCGTGGCCTCCTCTACATATTGGTCCTTTGATTCTAAAGGAGGATCTTCAGGTATATTACTAAAAACCTCAGTCTCGGGTAAACAACCTAGAAAGATAAAAAAAAAAACCAAGTCAGACTGGAGTAAATTTCAATTAACATTTTCAGAATTTCAACAAAACAGGAAACCTTGAAGCAAACGGCCTTGTAAATGATTATTTACAGACTATTTTATTTCCCACGAAAATGAAAACTAAATGTATAGTGAAGGGAAAAATAACTAAACCAATAAATACCTAAGTGATATGCAATCAGCAAAATGTCAAATGCATAAAATCACAGTGAAAAGTACTCTGGAATGTTGCCAAATGACTTTACCATCGTTTTAGGCATTTATAGTATTTTTTTCTGTCAAATTATGACTTGTAAGTGCACAGTACCTTTGTTTTTTTCCTAATATTTTAACATTGTTTGAAAAGAACAACCTTTGTATTTCTGTGACCTTGACCTTTTATTAATAATCTAAATGACCTTGGGCGTGCAAGGGATTTAGTAATCCTGGCGAGTTTGTGGGTTAGTCGGCATAACTAGTGAGAGAGTTGTTAATACTGCAGTATAAATCTACATTGAGATCGGTGTGCTCTTTGCGAAGGGAATATTCCGCTTTGTGGTACCTTTGTTCACCTTTCCGCTGTCATTGTGAAATAAATAGGGCCGATATTTACCTAATGGTCATTGATCGTTAATAGATTGATAATTGAAATTCCCTCAGCGGGATAAATAACTAATATTATTTCCGTAAAAAATGTTGGAAAGAAAGGCCATTTCCTTCAAATTATGCCATGCAGGGTTGCTGAAATTGAATACATTTTAATCAAAATTAGAATTATTTTGGAAAACCGTTAGTGATAAAGCAAAAAAAATATGCTAGGAAATTTAAGCAATTGACACTGCAAGTGCAATTGGATGGTCATATTCCTAAAATCAATTCTATCAAAATAGATGTTTTATGTAAATAATAAATATGATCATTCTTTAGAATGATGTCACGTTCGTACCGATTTCATGGCTTAAGTGAACGAGAGTGTAGCGCAAACTATAGACATTTACAAGGTGTTAAACACGAAGTACTGAATTCCGATAACATGCACGAAATGTTTACAATTCCCAGAAACATGAACTATCGTGATAACAATTCCCTTTTAATCTCTTGAAAATGTGTCAAGATTTACTTTTACAGTATTCAAGAACACGTGGACATTATTGGCAAACATTTTCGGAAAACAAATTTAACTAATTATAATGACTGAGGAACTGTGTACAAGCTCAGCGATTTTTATTCATTCAGAGACAATGATAATATATTGAACATAATTCTTAGCAAGTTTTTATCAATTCCTCAAATAATTTCAGTGCATTTTTGCGAAATCGATGATGTTTCATTATTAAACCGTTGTATCTCAGGGAACAGGAAAGTCTTTCGCCGCATGAGAAGGAAAATTAAACAGGTTTATTTCCGCCTAAAAAGAGTTAAGACCTTGAAGGGTAATTCTTGAATAAACTTTTTTCTTAAATGTTGATTTGACGTAAATGTTTGTATCTATCGGCAAGGCGGTAATTTTAGTGTCCTAAAACTATCATTTTTCGGTTATCATTATTGTCTATTCGTGAAGCTAAATTAAAAAAAACCCATTCAATTCATGGTATAAATTACAGAAAATTTGTTGCTGATTAACCACAAAATATTGCTTTCGTTGCTTGTTCCGATGTTAAGTGGTGCATTTATCTCGAAATTCAGTTGAACCCAATATTCAGTGTTAATCTCAATGCACGCAACAGCCGCATGAAAAGTGCATTCTTATCTAAAATATCTTTGAAGTTAATAGCGAAAAAAAAATCGATGCATGAGGTTAGTTATTTAAATAAACGAGGATGTTAGACCGAGTACAATAAACGGTGACGAGTGCGTTTTAAACCCCTCTGAAAGTTTCTATTACGTCATCTTGCATTGAATTGGTACATAAAAAGATAAATATACTTATTTACCTGGTCCGTATAGATCAAACTCCCACGCAGTTCGAATCTGGTCCCCGGAAAATCCGTTTATATCACCTAAATAGCCTGAAAATAACAAAAGCGTAATAGAATGTTTCAAAAAGTAAAAGGAAACGTTCCTTAAATAACTTTTTTATGTACTGAAGGAAAAAAAAGAAAATCATATTGGCTATAAATATAATACAGCGCTTATGTACATTCTATACTTCATGCAAGCTATGTGCTGGTGTTACTTGAAACAAATCAATAACCCATAAAAACTGAAAACGATCACAGGGTAAAAAATAATAAAATTTCAAATTTTCATTTTTTTTAAAGTGAAACCACAATCAAAAGAAGTCCATAAGCAACAAAGCTCACTTTAATCACATTTCCCTTCTAGCATGGCAATTAAATATGTACAAGTGCTAACTAGTATATTTGATCTCCATATTGTGGTGAGGTCTACAAAATACCGGAAATCAAGTTGGGATAATCGTTAATTTACAATACCAAAAAAAAACAAATTTTGCTTAAAACATACTGAACCGTACTGAAATACTTCCAGGGGCAATTCGACTAAACATTCATGTTTCAGTGAAATTTAAATCTCAATTGTTGAGGTTGTAGAAAAAGATGAAAAGTGAATAGTTTACACTGAAATCGTCAATGTCACAGACTTAAAAACGTGAGCCTAACAATTTTATACTATGTACCTTTATATCAACAAGTGATGTAATTTAATATCATCGCGACTCTCCTATAAAAACAAATACAAGCAATCCATTTTCCGTTTGCAGTTTTTATTAATAACAGCTGGAGGATGAAATAAACTTCTAAATTTTCATATTATCCCAAACTGATAACAGTTTTTATATCATTTTTATCAATTTTACGCATAAATCTGATTTAGCTTCGAGGTTTTTTAAAAACAATTTTGTGTTTCAGAAAGAGTACACGCATGATCATGTTACAAATACTTTTTAGTTCTTTGTGTATTAAGAATAGATATACTAGCACAAAAAACAATTTGCAATTTAAAAACAGTTGGTTGAAACTGTCATTTATTTACAACTGTAAGCTTGAATAAAAATTGTGAACAAGGGCGGGGCAAGGCGGGGGAACCAGACGCAAATAGCATATCGATCCCTATGCATACGTCACTTCCTTTTTTGTAAAGAAGAAAAATAACTCACTCACCGACAAACGAACACACACGACTACTGTTTTTAGGGGATAAACGGCTATACAAGACCATCAGTAACAATTGCCACACTTACCAGTAATAAGCGATCTCATGCCCTCACTATGTGCAATTTTCAGGGGAGATGCACCAGTATATGTTGCTAAAGTTGGATCAGCCCCATACACAATTAGTAAACGGACCATCTCAACATTATCGTTTTCCACAGCATCATGTATGGGTCTGAAAATTTCAATTTTTACGAAAACGTTAAATAATTAATTAAATGAAATGTGCTAATTACTAAAAGAAATGTGCTATGTTCAGTGCAACACTTTCAAATCAATGAATGTGAAGAAATTTGCATTTGATAAACGCCAATAAAGTTTTCATTAGGAGGGTGGAATATTAAAGGCTACCTGATTCCGTCTTGTGATGCGCAATTGACGTTTGCCCCACGTGATAACAATAAGCGCGCTATTTCCAAGTTTCCGCTGACGCAACACTCATGAAGAGGTGTATAACCCGCATTATCCTTTGTATTCACATCGACATCCCCTGACTGAAGGCAATATATAACCACATCCTGCAATATTGAAACGAAAATTAAATAATTAAAAAAACACAAACTTGACACATGTTGAAAATGCTCAAGAAACAAAACTCAATATACGCATTTAATAGGGTTATTCTAACCCCAACCATCACTGCAAATGAGAAAAAGAAACAAATTATTTTAACAAATACGACTTCGAATGTAATGGAGAACTAGAATTATAACTTTTGAATGAAGATGATAACCAGCCTAGCTTCATGTGTTTGAGTGTGTAAGCGGCATGTTGTCCAATGATCAAGGTTTGAGTATTATATGTATGTGGCCCTTTTTTTTTACTTTGTACACAGCTTCTTCAATATTGGCTAATTGAATTTGTTTTCATTAGGTCTGAATCCCTATTGGGCCTCACTTAGGCCCCAAAGACCACGAACTGAATCCCTAAGTGTGGTCCTCTTCTTTTAGAGAAAATGTTTTTGAAATACGTGTAGTTTTCTAATATGCTTATATTTGAATTGGACTCTCGATTATAGTCTCGTTCTGGGCCCTGGGTCATTATTGAACAAAATTTTATGTACAATGTAGCTTAATATATAAATTTCCTTACATAACGTATGACTAATGTGTGTATGTGGTGTTACTGTTTATTTTTTCATAATATTTTCATATGAAATCCTGACTCCCACTTGCCGTCCATTCCAACCAAAGAGACCACGATTTCTGTGCTATAATTATAATGACGCATTCACATACATGTAGTTTGGGTACGTCTTTTTTAGCCCAGTAGTTCACGAGATTTTTAAATGACCGAATTATATTTAATTTTCATTTAGGCTTAAATATCTGACTAGAAGAAAGGGTGTTGTAATTCGTTTAAAAAAAATCTGCATCCTCTTCACCATTTGATTTTGTTTTTTAATAAGTTTGGTCCAATGCTCTGGAGAAGATGCAGAAGATATAAGAAGACAAATTATGAAAGACGACAGACATAAGGACAAAGGACACTTGCATCACTGAGCCTTTGGCGAGCTCGAAATAGTTATTTCTTTAAATAACCCAGTGTTGACGTAAATCCAAGAGTTCTCTGCACAGTTCCAGATTTTATTATCAAGAGGAATGTATTATTAAATAAAATTTGACCGCTTTTTCCGCACTGTTCAGCTGCGTAATTTCTTTACGTAGGTGCAGGACATCTTATATTGGAATTTAAACCTTTCTCTGTTACTTTCTTCGCCGTCATTTCGTACACTGGTATATGTCAAGGAGCCATACACTACCCTATTATTTGTTTACAGTCACTCAGATTGCATACCATAAAGACAGCTAATATAAATGTTGAAATTCCAGGGCCTAGTATGTTTTATGAACGCGTTGAAAGAATGAAATATATCTTTTTTATGTTTATTTCATTCTAGAGCAGATGGCAATGTTATATACACCTAGTAAGGTAGCAACCTTAGTGGAGTGACATTTCAAAGTTATGCCCACCAGATGTCCAAGTCGAGCAGCGCGGTGCAGCATTGTTTCTCCAGTGTCTTTACACACGACAAGTTTCTTGATTTCTTGGCCCACTCCAGGAACCGGAGCGCTGGTATGTGGTAGATCATCAGAAGTGTCAACATTCGCTGACAGTCCAAACACATCCTGATTAATCAATACAAAGTAAAAATTATTATGGAAATCTAACACAAAAAATCAATTGAGGAGAAGAAAATTTATAATCATTAAATTACTAGAATATTTAAGCTAAAACAATAAACTTTTTCGTACATCATTTGCGAAGACGTCATCGTCAATATCATCCTGAAACGTCAATGGAACAATATTTTTCTTCATTATTTCCTTCTTCCGGAACTTCGTCCTTCGTCTGCGACATTTTCCGATTCTTTTTGTACTTGATCTCCTTCGGAATCTTCGCTTCTGTTTTGGACGGATTAGTAATTTCATCGGCACACCATGGGAATCAACTTCCGGTTGCGCAGATGCGGAACCCTTCTCTTCCGCTTCCTGTGTTTCCTGTTTTGATTGAATTGGTCCATCATTAGAATGTCCCTCTCCACTGTTAACCTCCGCTATGTTCTTATTCACACAATCCGTAAGAGCAATGGAGGCGATTTTCAGCGAAATACTGGTTGAACATTCTGTATTATTTTTAACTTCTTTGCCACCCTCTTTCTTTTTTTGCAAGGTATCTTTGCGAACATTTCTTTGTCCAGATTTTTTATATACACGTTTTTTGAACCGTCTGATATCGCCTTCATCTTCTGTTTTATCGTCCGAATCTGAGGGAATTTCAGTTTTACCTGTAATTGTATAACATACAAATTAACTCGCAAGAATATGTGAGAGAAGATAGTAACGTACTTGTCTTTGTACATACATGACTGGATAATTTATACTTTCATCATAAATCGAATACTTAATCAGTTAAGTAAATTAATATTGATTGTATTTATTTGCGGAATCAATCTTTCATTTTAATTGCGGTATAAATTTTGTTCACTTTTTTTTTACATTTAATTAACACCAGTTGAAACCGCTTTCCGTAAAAAAAACCCTAATCTTGCAATTAAAAGCTCTGAATTACAAGGGTAAAGGTATATACAAGTACATCATAATAATAACATGTAGATTTATTCGCTACATGTATTAAACATGTACTACATGTATATCAATAACGTAAATGCATCACAACATAGGATGTACTTTATACAATTATGTCTTCAGGGTAAATCCTTTTGAACAGTATCCGGGTTAACATAGCTTACATTCGAGATCATCCAATACCTGTTAAGTACTTACAAGCATTAAGTCATTAATTATGTCACTTTAATTAATATACATGTCACACTTCTTCGCTAGCCAAGGGTTTCTGATATGCTACTCTCCTCATAGCTATGAGGAGAGTAGCGTATCAGAAACCCTTGGCTAGCGAAGATGTATACATGTATGAATAAAAACAATATTTCGGTCTTAAACCTAAAGTTGGTGCACTTTGCCCTAATTTCTTTGGAACAAAGACTGACCATTGCTATTTTTTGAAATTATGCAATCACTATATGTCTTTAATGATGTAAAGTGAATACATGTATGACGGTTGACCCATCCCTCATGGATTTTGATGTTTGACTTACTTATTTTTAACTTTGGAATCAGATGTTAAAAACGTGAAAGGATCGTTATAATGATATTTTATTGCTTTCTTAAACAGTAATTTCTCAGCAAGACGATTTTTTAAAGACTGCAGAATGTCATTCATATATCTCCAGAGGCTGATAATAAAGAATAATTATGAATTTTCACAAAAATATTAGACTTGACTTGTCATGGTTTAAAGTGGGGGGCTAAACTTACGGATATGTTCAATGTCTATAATAAGTATATATTTGGAAAAAAAGTTTTATGCTTGACTTGTCATGGTTTATATTCGGGGTGGAATTTTAAATCATTTCTATTTTCTTCAAGCAGGATATTCTATTATATGGTGGATTAATTTACGTTGTTCGAAAGAAGAAACTCACTTGATTGACTGTGCTTGATTAAAATACAAAAATAAAACCCAATCAAGACTTTGGCTAAATCAACTTCATACTTTTTGTAATAAATTGTTATCTGTCGAATCCTTTGTCCTTAAAAAAATTGACAATCACATTCCAAAAGGAAGAGAAAACACGCTGTTCATTGTTTACAGACAAGAAAATGATAATTAGGCTCCATGTAATTTGAAGCAACTAATCAGAAGCCGAGAGGAAGAGGAAAGATACCAAATGTCATTTGAAAAGTACAACATTGATTGAAGTTGTAACAAAACTTACAAGTTTTGGTTCGGGTTCGATTGACGAGAACTTCCGGTTTGAAATCGATAAATCCGCGGGCTTTATCCTGACTATGTCGTCTGCTTTTGATATAGAGGGATTGATTTTCTGGAAGAAGAGGAATAAAACTTAATCATGACATGTATATATGTATTTTTAGCAGTCAAGTATCTCTGCTCTTTGTCCCTTAATTAGATATTCTCTATTACAAGTTGTCTTATTGAAAAAAAAAAACCAAAATGTCATATTATTCATTTTTTATACAGATGTTGAATGCCCTTTCCGGACATCCACTTGTTAGGTTTCCTTCTAGTAATGAAAAAAGAACTACCATGGGATACAGGGCTCACCTGATTAAAATTCTTAAAGTAAGTTATCTCATAACTTAATTTCTTAATTCAGTAAATGTGTTAATTATTTATAGGCCTGATATACTTGAATGTTCCAAGATATCTAATAATAAAAGTATATCGAGTACCAATTTTAGCAGTTCTTTTTGAGGACCTTCGGAGGGACATGTTTGTCAAATTTAATGCCCCTGTTGGCAATTTTATAGATATAAAACACTTTTTCAATAACCGATGGAAAGCCTTTTAATCCGATGAAAAAAATTTATTCCCTATATGTAATTTTTACTCAAAAAAGATTTTTTTTAAATAAGGCCCAGATTGGAATGGAATACACAGAGAGTGTACGCGTGATTAACCTCGCTCGCTACAGAGAATTAATAGTAAGGTGAGCTTAAACAAACGAAGAAATATTTTTAATGTCTTGAAATAAACTAAAGTACATGTGTGTGTACCTTTAATGAAAAATAACTTTGTTGAAGGAGACAGTTAATTTGAAGAGGAAAGATTTATATGTCGACAAGAAATTAATAAGCCTTCTCCTTGACTTTTTTAAAAAATGCATTTGTTTACAGTGGTGTTTCCTCTTTTAAATCAATATTCCATATATAATTTATTTTCACATATCGCATTGCAAGTGAAACATGTGACAGAAAAAGCAGAGCTTGTCCTTCAGAATAAATCAAAGCTTTATTTTTCTGTTAAACAAATTGCCTACTGTAATCGATTCACTGTCACAGTTTCACCTTCAAGTATTCCTTAACGATAATAGAACATTGTTTTATAATGCCTCTCAAGTAATAAATGTAATATATAAATGTCAGTGTACTTTTAGCCTACACTACAGCCTGTTTCACTTTAATGCTTACAAAACATTCTGTTTTGCATATTTATGTACTGTGCATGTGGTGTTATTTACAAATTTTAAATGGGGAATAAAATATAAATATATCGGTCATATATGTGTACCGTCTGTGCGCATTAGTGTGTATACATACGTCAATAAATTTAAAGTTTATGAACAGTTATGAAACACATTATGTTTTGAAGAGTGATAAAGTTGTACCTTTTTTTTTGGGGGGGGGGTGTTAATGGGAGTGTTTATTTTAGTCAACTCACCCTGAAACTGCTTATTTCTCTGACGTTGTTGATGTCTTTCCCGCGCGCGACGACGAATATCGTCTGCCTGTGTATAAGAAATGTGTCAGATATTTAGCTTAACAATCAAATGTACTTTACGCTTCAAGTTAACCGTCCGTGTTGCGTAAATACCTTTTTCTGTGTCTTTGATGTAGAGCAGATTTTACTGCGGAATGTAGGACGACTGTCTATCTTTTCATCTGTTATCTGTTTATTCCGAGAAAAAAAGGTACATTTAGAAATATAAAAATCGTAATCAGGATTTTAATGAATGTTGTCTTTAAATTAATGAAAATATTTTTAAAAGCAATTTTGATCTGATACTTTGAAATAGAAATAAAAAATTTAAACACTTCAATTTTGCATCTGAAGCAAATTTGAGAGTTTAAAAAAGTCTGGTTTATACAATGTTATATAAGCCTTATAGTTTTTGGTAATAGACCTGCAACCATAACTTTTACCTTGTCTACTATCTGAAAAATGTATGTCCAATTCAGCATTCCATTACATTAAAACTATTTTTTATAGGGCTCATAGTTTATTGGAAATGAAAACAATTTTTCACTCATCCACAAAAAGTAGGTCAGATTCAGCAGCCTGGAAGTATGCATCCTGTGTATCATCTATGCAAGATTGATTAAAGAACTCATAGTTCCTTGGAAATGAAACCTGCACCAAAAACTTTTAAGTAATCACTCAACCAGAAAATGTAGGTCAGATTCTCCCATATGGTTATAACCATGCAAGTTTGAAAAAAAGTTACTTGCAAATGTTTTCCTGTGGCCGGGAAACCCTTAGATGTATCATCCATGCAAGTTTGGTCATGTGTCACCAAAAACTTTAACAAAAAAATGTAAAATAGGAGGTGCACAATGGCAATATGTAATAAAGATTCTGGAAATGAAAGTTTCATCAAATTTCATTCAGTGGTATGAGAGGTATCATCCATGCAAGTTTGGTCAACATAGGGCTTATAGTTACTTGGAAATGAAACCTACACCAAAAACTTTAACCTGTTCACTCAACCGCAAAATGTAGGTCAGATTCAGCATCCGAAGCAAGCACGGTAGTATGCATCCTTAGATGTATCATCCATGCAAGTTTGGTCAACATAGGGCTTATAGTTACTTGGAAATGAAACCCACACCAAAAACTGCACCAAAAATGTTAACCTGCTCCAAAAACATTAACCTGGTAATTCCTTTGCTGAAATTGCAGCATCTGAAACTTTGTCTGGTACAATAAAACACACTAAAACCATCTTCCATGCATGTCTAATCAGTATATAATTAGAAAGAAAACCTCCAAAAAACTTAACCCGCTTTTTCAAGCGGCCTACAGAAATAAACACTTCAATTTTGTCTTTAAAAAATATCTTTTTCCGGTCGATATGTTCTTAAATCTTCACTTCTTACATTAAAACTATTTTTTGAAGAAAACAGTAAAAAAAAAACTGAAAAGGTCTTATTATAGCAGAGTCATGTTGCCTTTTTCAGCCTTGATCAAATAACGAGTGCGGATAAATACCCAAATGTTTAATATAAGCCATTGGTAAATATTTGTTCAGTGAATAGTATGGCTCATAATAAATTAAACAGGAGTGACTGAACTCGAGTAAGGTCGAAGTCCTGGCGACAGAAGTATTATTGACCATTAATTTCCGCTAAAAGAGCCTCTCGTTACCATCTGTACGCAGGAACGATGAAACTGACTCAGCGATTAAAAAATAGGTTTCCAATAAATAAGAGTTACAAAAGATGGCATTCAATGCATTGTAGAAGTTACAGAGCTGTAAAATATTTCTGTTCATTATTATTTATAAGGTCGATAGATTCTTGGTTAACTAACCGTGGTAAGCCTAGTTTCTTATTCTCACTAAACATGAATAAAAACGCTTATCCTTTTTAAAAATACTAAAACATGGAGGATTTCTTTTTTTAAAAAAATGCCCCCCCCCCCCCCCGGTACACAAATATTTGGGATGATAGAAGATAATAAATAGTACATGGATAACAATATTATTACCATAAAATTCTTATGTTCTGGTATTCTTCCACTGGAACTTGATTCTTGAATCAAAGACTTATGACGTCTTTCAATCTTCAGTGGCTTGTAATCTTGGTCACAACCATCAGATGATTTGAGAACACATTCAGAATCCGACAATCGTCTGCCTTTAACGATTTGTTCCCTTTCTTTGATAACATCAATAACACTAAAATCTGTCTCGTTTTCTCTTGAAAAATTTACAGCTGTTTCAGAATTTTCATTTAAATATGTTTTGATTGAGGACGTTATATGTTTGTCAAATGTTTCATCTAGCTTTCGTTTTTGACCAGTGTTTCCATTTGAGGTGATGGGTGGAGTATCCTTTTGCTCCTCTGTGGAATTTTCGTGAACCATCGGTGCAACGTTAGCAATAGGTATCTTCTTGTAGTGTAAGAAAGGTCTATTTGCAAACACGCTGTTGGCGTGTATGGAAACCTCGTTTTGAGTTTCGCCGGATTCTTCTTCCTCTTCTTCGTCTTCAATCACAGGCTGTGTTTTCTTAGGAAGAGATGACAGAAGCCTTATTCTTTTCTTATCCTGACAATACGATGCGGTACCGGAACGTCCATACGAATCGTGTTTCTCGGAACCATCAATGTCAAGGGTAGGTGGTTCCGTGACTTGGTGAGACAAACATGATGGTTGAAGTTTTTGTTGGGGACTTAAAGTTGGCATTTTAGGGGATTCTGGGCCAATGGGGGATGTGGTTTGAGATCTTTTGATATCTGGATTGGAAAAAATAACAGTTTTGGGTTTTTCGGAATTGCTAACAATTTTCCGAAGATCTTCGTCTCTGTTAACGGCATTCATAATTAATTGTTTCTTGGAGAACGGTCGTGGTTTACTTTCGAGCTTTTCCTCTGTTTTACATGAGTTGGAAGTGTTAGGTATCGATATTGAAAGTGGAGACGATAAGCGCTCGACAACATCTGTCTTGGACCCTGACGATTCCTGAGCCTTTGTATCTTCACGAGGAACTTTAGTTTCCTCCCTTTGTTTCAATGTTTCGTTTAATAGATTCCCTCCCCCGTGTGTTATGATTCCTCTAAAAAGTTGTGTCACTAGCCTATTGTCGTTTAAGGAGTCATCACTTTCCTTCTTTTTCACTGGTTCTTCTCTCTGTACCTTATTAATCTGTCTCTGTTTTGAATATTGGTCTACTCTTGATGATTTATGACTAGAAACGGGTACCTCATGCCCATCGCAAGATTTTTGACATTCACTACTATGTTTCGTGATTCCTTCATGTGTTTCAAACTGTTTTGAAGAAACTTTATACAAAGCTGATTTTTGTAATCCATTCAAACCATATACTCCACTGGTCCCCTTCATTATTGACCTCTCTGACTGATGAGGCATTTGAATTTCTGAAGAAGCTCTAGAACAAGAATTCCGTAACCCTTTCATTTGATGAGGGTTACCAGTCATCATTACATCTTTAAGAGCATTTGAGGAATGTTGAATCTGGGATGCTTGACTAAGATAAGGGTGTCTCTGGTCCATCTGAATAGGCATTTCATTTCCTAACGGCTTTTTGTACCCACTTGCGGGTAGGAGATCGGGGTGCTCTTGCTTTATGGTAGCGTTGTAAGATGCCATTGGGTTCCTGTGCTTCCCAATGTTTATCACATGGGGACCGTCTACACCATGTTGTTGTTGGGCTGTTTCAGCGATCATACGTTGCTGTGCTGATTCAGAAAACCCTGATTTCCACAACTGCTGGTTATAATTAACATCGTTATTCAATGATGGCTTCTGTAAGTAAGCCTGCGCTGGTCTTTCCAAGAAAGGAGTTGGGTGAGACATAGTGCTGACTTTTGGGGAAAGTTTGGGTTGTGTTGCGGTTAATGATTCTTGAATTCTTGCCGTCCTTTCTGCAAAAATACGTTCTTTTTCCATCTGCTGTTTCTTTGCTGCATTTTGTTTCTGAATAGTTTGAAGCATGGCGTAGTACTGTTCATCTGAACTTGGATTCTTCATTCTATTTGGGTAGCGGATCTGAGATGTTCTTCGATAATGTTCTTGAGTTAAAGACTTATTTTGGACAATTTGTTGAGTTTGCCAAGGTGGTGTCATGCCTTGTTTCACCAAAGAGATATCTTGTTGACTAGAGTTTCTATGTGGCAGTAATATGTCTTGTTGCATCTCTGGATAACCCGTGTTTGGAGGATGTTTCGTGTAGTAACTGTCACTATATCCTTGTTGAAGATGTCTTTCTTCCCTTATTTGCCTTTGTCTTTCCTCCATGGCTTGCCTTTGTCTTTCCTCCATAACTTGTCGCTGACGATCTTCCATAGATTTTCTCTGTTCAAGCATCTGCCTATGTTCAAGAACCTGCTGCCTTTGTTCAAACGCTTGTCTTTGTTCCAAAGCATGTCTCTGTTCAAGTGCTGGATGATTACGTTCAATCAACTTGGTATGTTCTAAATACTGTCTTTGAAGCGATATATGCCGATCCATTGTCTGTCTTTGGTCACCATAATCACTAGTACTTGGTCCTTGTAAAACAGTTTGAGCTATAGGCTTTTGAAGGTATGGCATTTGAGTTTGTGTCGCATTTACACATGGTCTTTTTCCAAAAGAATACATTTGTTGATGAGCAAGATACATTTCCCTTATTTCTGCGGAATCTGCCTGACGTTTCCTCGTTTTCAATGATAAATCCAAAGGACTTTCCACTTCGCGTGGATTTTGTGAATCGGCGAACGACCCCGACAGATCCAAAGGGGTAGATGTTAAATGCCTTTCTTTCGAACGGTCAAGATTGCTTGAATTGGCTGTCACTTGTTCCAGTTTATTGCCAGAAGCATCTACGATGCTGTCGTCTTGCGCTGGCCAATACATGTTGAGGGTTACGTTTTGCAGTAAGAAGCGTCAGGTAGAGCTGAAAAAAAAATCAAGGAAATGCGTATTAAGATCTTGTTACGACTGTGTACTACAGATATTGACGTAAGACAAAATAACTTGCAAAGATTGATCGATATTCTTATCCATGTGCTTACTTATAACACCCGGATGTAACATTATACTCTTGCTATCCTAAAATTAAATAAATCCTCTTTGTATTTTGACAGGTAAATATAAGTCGGTGTCCACCTCCTGTTTTAACATTAAGCTGAGAAATATTCTTAATGCAATCATAAATGCCAATCCGATGTAAGCATTGTAAGTATTCAAATTTCTTAAAGCCCATGTAAGGAAGACTAAAATATCGATAACAGTCCTAAAATAGAACAATTACAAATCTAGCAGACGATCTAGGTAATCCTATCAACTGCTTGATGGGTGGAGGTTTTTACATCGACCAAAAAAAAATCCATCATGGGTAATTAACTTTCTAGGTCACGTTATTTATCGGTCTGATTTTTGCCGTTTTAATATGATTACCACGCTTGAGTGAAGATTATCTTGATAATGTCCGCATTAATGCAGGAGAAATTTTCAATTAATAAAGCGGTCAGGTATGTAAACAGCGATACGAGAAGGCGCGATATCAAGTTTTCTGTTGTGACAAGACGAGAAGATCGCACTCAAAAGTTAAATCTATCAAGATCTCTGAATTATAGCACACGACCTTTAACGACTTCCTTAAGAATAAACATGGGAAAGTGCGAGTCAGTGAGAACGAAGCAGTCTCAATTTCAAGCTTACGTTTTAGACTGGTATATATATTATCAACATATGTCTTAAGGTAGTGCATACCAGTACATGTTACATATGATAATGTATACAGAACTTTTAGTATTGGTTGTTCATTAAATGCATACATGTTTCTATGTGTACATGTATATGGCATAAATTAATATGTATCTTCAGTAATGGTCATTTGTAATTTAATTATGTGTAATTTATGAATATATCGAGATCGTTTAAAAAAACAGAAAATATAGAAAGTCGACGAGAAAAGGAAAAAAATGACACTTCAAGAGAGAGAGAGAATTGGTGGGTCACATGCAAAAAAACGATTTTTCTTGGAATCCAGACATAACAGACAAAAATACACATGTAGTCGCCATTATAATCAGAAATGGAGAAAACAGAAAAATACACAAGTAAACCAGTGTTGTCTCATTGGACAAGAACTAGGCTAGTCACTTAACGCGTGGGAGGGTCCACCGGGCGATTTCCTCCAAACAGCAATACACTTTTCAATCATGTAAGTCAATGCCTCCAGATATTATCGGTTACGAAATAAACATTATTAATACGATGACATGTTTGTACAATGCGACCAAAGTCTGAGGTGTATACTATATAGAACGTGTATAGCTAAGTTTGGTTTCAAATCACCAGAATGAAATGTATATCGATATGTACATGTACATGTATGTTTCTTATTTATGAATTTCGGTCAATATTTTTTCTTTAAAAAATAATATGAGGTAAATTTTGATAAGAAACAGTACTTTCAGAAACAATTTGATTGTAAAAAAAAAAAAAAAAAAAAAAAAAAAAAAATTCGTATCAAATACTGCACGAATTATATCCTAATTTTTATTATTAAAAAGGGGTAATTGAATTTTATTCGAAGAGGCACATGCAAGCTCTAAGCTTTGAATGCAATACTACAAAATCATTTTCTTTTTTTCAATCACGTTTATTGAATAACTTGTTTCCACTAGTACGCATTACCACATCAAAATGAAAATAGTATTAAACAGCGTCAGTTTTCAAAAATTTAATAGATTACAAGATACATTTTATCGTATTGTATATCAAAATGTGCCATTATCCCACCGTTTGATTTGTGGTTGGACCACACGAGCTGGTGCATAAACTAGAACAAAATAAACAGAGCTATTATAAACATACAGTCAAATACAGTAACACCCACAAGTTATTTTCGTGAACAACGTGAAAAAATTCGGCGGAAATAAAAAAAAAAATCCTACCTTAATCTTCAGCCTCATTTTCTTTCTTTATATAAAAAAATGTGTCAAAACCAATCAGTTTAAAATTATTTAGAATCGCTGTTCATTTGAAACTGCGGCTCATGAAGGAAGAAGTAGGCGTTGCGTTCAACGTTCTTATACACAGTCATGACGCGTATAATTAGCGCCTTTTGAAGTAATAAAAACTGAAAACACCTATTTACAAACTACTTTATTTCACTGTTTTATAATACCCGTCTAGGTATCTATTTCACTACATAGTTACACGTAATATAAGTATCTTTAAATGTTGTACTTTTTTTTTTTAAATCGTATCTCTAAATTTTGAGTTATAAGTTTGTAATGTACCACTCCAAATGCGAAAGGAAAAACGTATATTCGTAAAATTCGAGTATTTCCATGACACCCATCAGACGAGTTAAAGTTACTTGTCGTGCTTTGCCATATATATTATATAATTTATGTTTATAATGAAACAAACTAAAAAGGATGTCATCATATCGATTTTTAAATCCTAGCTCCCAAGAATTCAAAAAAAAAATCTATATTAGTTAAATGAAGTACATGTTCACTAAATACGACAACTGTAAAGGACATCTTGCTTAGCATGAATTAAAACGAAATGTGTTTGTGAAACACTGATGTTCACATGTGGCAGCACATGACAAAGACTTAATGTTCTCAAATGCAAGTCGAACTCTAAGGTCGAGGTCAAGAGATTTAAAATAATAAAGAAAGAGATTGTCACAAGGAAAACACTTGTGAAATAACAAAACAAAAGCCTCAATTGTTCACAAGTTATATCCAAGGGTTTTTTTTTGGGGGGGGGGGTTAAATCAAAAATTAGTCAAACTCAAAGGTTAAGGTCAAAATAAATGGTGTCCATGGAAGGTTCTGTCTCAAAAAATGAAATATAAAAGAACAAGAAAAAATCATTTAAAAATTATGGCTACGTTACTTTTTTCCCCAAAAGAAGATAAAACTCAAAGATCAAGGCCAAAGGGTAACAGGTGTTAGACTGGTTACTGCATGTATTTGGGCGAGAAAAAAACGTGATAGATCGAGGGCGAGGCTTGCGTGTCACAAAATATCGATATTTCATAAACCTTTGTTTATCCTGCAACAAAATTTTACATTTGAGCGTCCAAAACAAGCTAATTCCAGATAAAAGTTGAAACTATGACGCCATGGCGTAGACATTATTAAAATTTTTGGAACGTCGGAAAAGCACGAGGCTTTATTAATTAGGTTACGTTTATTAGATCAATGCAAGGGGTAGTTGCAGGATAAAAGGAAAGATCGTGTCACAAGGAATATACCAATGGACATATACATGTACAGACCCCACCATCAATCATTTCAAAGTTATTATCAAGGTTAAGTTTTAAAATTGGAAAGGTCTTGTCACAAATAATAAATCATTCAAATATGAAAGTTATAGCTGCAACCAATCAAAAGAAATGGGCAAGATTTAAGTTTTATAACACAAGCAGACAGATTGACGGAAAGATGGTGCACCATAATCTCCCATTACAGGGGCATAAAAATTATTCTAAATCACATTTTCTGTAAAAACAAAAAAAAAAAAAAAAAAAACCACTAGTAGCAGTTCCTGGGTGTCTAGAAAGTAAAATAAACCAATAATTTTATAGATAGTTCAATGTACTTTCCTCAGCCGCGTGATACATGTGGTGGTAAGCAAGCGACACCTCCCTATACGATTAGTAACTTGATATATATATTTTTTTAATGAAACTTTTTTTTGTCAGTTTCACATATTTGATCATTTTATCAATACAAACATACGTATTACACATTTGTTAAAGAGTACATGGAGTTAATCGAATCAAAAAGATAAATCAGACTTTAAAAGATATTCATGCAAAAGACTTTAATTCAAAAATGTCATAAATAAATTTGAATCTGCCGATTCACGACCTAACTTAATTGCCAAGGAATTTACGACGTTGGATTTAAATTTTTCAAATTTTAAGGAAAGCACAGAGGTATTTCCTGCAAAAACTTCGAAAATAATAAGGGCGATAAAGTTAAAACCAAGGATTAATATTTAAAGACTCGTGTATTGCATGTTACTCTGATTAATTATAAAAGGGTAGACAAATATTTACTTAATAATATATATAATAAAAAGACTTGCACGTATACACAAAAATCGGTAAATTAAAATCTTAATGTAACTGTGCAGATATTTTTTTTTTTGGAAAAATTCTCTCAATATACTTTGTAAAAGTAAGTCATTTAAACAGAATTATTTTTAGAACATTATGAAACGAGTTTAATAAATTAGATTTAGAATCCTCAAAAAACGGAAACAGTGCATCACATTTCCTTTTCGGAGAAAAAAAAACAAAGTGTTTGTCTTCTGTTTATCACGAGTCGTTCTATTCTTAAACTTTCTCCATCCTGGTTCATAGCACTGAAGATTTATCAATGCGCCAGATCACGAGACAGACCGCAAAATCATGGAACTGGACGAAATATATAGACCAGGTTTTCGGAGTGCGGGGATTTTTCCGATATCCTTTACCGCCATGATCAATTTTACACCATGATTCATGAAATCGTCAGAAATTGTTAAGCATTATGTCAATCTTTTTGCTGTACTATGCACATATACTTCCTAAGTATTCGGTATGCACAGGTTTTTCGAAACCGAGAAAATGCCAAATATGCAGTGCATGTTAAAGTACTATTATACTATTATAAATAATGAAATATGGAGGTATAACGAACAATAAATAATTTAATTTCACTTGTAACGCGTCATTTCATAAACGGTTTTAATTTCATAACAAATCACGTCACAATGCGTTACGTCAAAAACGTATCACTCCGCTTGACGTTATTTTTAAAATAATGCTCACTTTGAAGCCTTTTTCTGAAGGAAATATTGTCCCATTGTATACATTGCAATTAAATTTTAAGAAATGAAGCTGATTTCAACTTATGTTATCCGATGTAACAAAACTTGGTGCCCGCTTCGCGGTTTATAAAGGAGGATAACATAAGTTGAAATAAGCTTCATTCCTTAATTATACTTAAAAGTCCATAGCAACATAACAAAAATCAGAAGCGGAAAAAACAAAGACTCTTAGGTGGGATCAGGTGCCATGGAGGAGTAACCATCCTCTGTCAACCGGTCACACCCACCGTGTGCTCCATGTCATGATCTGGTAAACGGAAAAATCCCATCGACAATTCAGTGTAAAAATAATATCCTATTACAATGAATTTTCCAGTGCTTGATTCATATATTCAAAAAGAATGACATCTATTTTATGCGATACTGCGTGTGTACAGCAAGAAACACTCTAAATTGAAAAAAATTACAGTGTGTAGATAAAAATATACATTTATCATTTATTCTTTGCATATTTGATTATCATACGCAATGAATCAAACAGAACAGAAGTAATATCACAGATGTATTTATTTAACAGTTCATGACAAGTGCCCCCGGTTTCTCTCGGCCACTGGTCGTTGACACTGTTTTAGCCATACATCACTACCTCTGCTCATGGAAAGTACAGGGTACGAGTAAAAATGTTCGTTGGATATCTCATCCATTTCTCACCGATAAGAAACGATTTCGCCTCAATATCGCAAGGTAAACAGTCCCCCAATTGAAAACCTTGAAAAGGGGTGAGGAATTTGATTCCCTGCATTAATTTACAGAAATGACAGATTTATGTTTACACCTTTCACAATCACAGAGAAGGTATTATTACCGTATGAACGATTTAATATTGCAAACAGGACGCATTCTTTATGACAATTTGACAACAGAACAAATTCACGTGACGCGACATTATGAATAATTATGAAATATATACCAGGCTTTAAAAGTTAGATATAATTATGCCTGTCATGTTTAGAAGGCATTTAATATGTTTAAGCTAAATTGATGTGCTTTGTCATTCTCCGTACATTTAATAAATATGTAAACTTCAACAAGATTTTATAAATTATAAAAATTCGTGTTTTTTACCAAGTGTCAGGATTTTTTATTGCAATTTTTTTTCCATGAAATATTTTTTTCCTCTAGATTTATTTCCATGATTTCCGTACACGTTTACAAGTATAACTTCCTGAAAGATATGCATCAAGTTTTTTCCCTAAATGTTTTATCAGTAGTACAATTCGCCTTTTATTAATCAATACTATAACTTTAGAAATCAACAATTGATAACAGATGTCCCCTGTAATTAAACACACGTACATGTTAATCATGCTAATAGATATATATGGAAATTGAATTTGAGCATGTTCATATTACAATGTATATATTTACAATAGCTACGAAGGTAGAAATAGTCTTTGGACTGGACCTGATACTTAATGATTTGTAACATTATCATGATTTTACAATTTGTGGAATTATAATGGAACTAAATATTATGAGTTCACATGTGACACCCAACACACAAAGATTCCTCCAAACCCAAAACATTTGCTCCCTCTTATACATTAAAACATTTACAGCTCAGATAAATACAAACATTAAAATCTGGCTAGAGAAAGACACACCTCTTATATCAATAACACTTACCCTAAACGAAGTCGTCGACCGGCTTGATAGTAAATAATTCCATCATTAATTTATTAATTCTAATTCTCTATTTTCACAACCCTTGTTCACACATTGAGTTCTTATTATTCTACGATGGGAACTCACAACGGACGTGACCCCATTTTTGTGATCGTGTGGTGTAAATATATATTAAAAACGTGGCCGATTCGCTGCATTTATATATCTGGAATACATCCGTGAACTATAGCAGACGACATTTTCCACTCTAGATACTAAGCAAACGTCTCCAAGAGCTACATCGGTTAAAATCTATATCCAATACGTTTTTCCTGGAGTAAGATTGGAAAAAGTACGAAAATGCAAACAAATCGGGGAGCGCTGACGTCACACATTCAACTAAGGCGAAGGTCATCGCTCTACCTAATATTCGTCAGGCTGTAAAACGTATCGGAGCGAGATTTTTTAATCACATTAAATATTTCTCTACCACGACAATGAAGGAAATAGGAATAATGAGAGATGGTGAATAATTAAATTTTATAAAAAAGTTAATAGTATACATTCAGGATTTGTTTAAGCTGTGCATTTATATAAAGACCGGGAATTAATTTATCTTCAGCATCCTGCTACGATTTAATGACAGGCATAATTCGGTAACACATGTTATGATCTTTTCATACGCAAAAAAGTTGGGTTAAGCCTTTCCTCTGCGTAGAGGTGCAATTTATTTTATTTTTGTTTTATCCCTAATTTTTACATGCAAATTATGCATTTAGGTGCACTGTCACGACAGTTTTGGTAACTTACAACTACCTTCATTCTTGGCCAAAATAATTACACAGTAATGTATATATAATCATATATATTGATGATAACTTATCTTCTGTGTACATGTATATACGTGTATAATATTTCTTCTAAGATGAAAAGACAACCAGCATCAATTGATCAATAATCAATACTGGAAACAGTAAGTTATCATTTTCTCCCATTATGATTTTGTAAATTTTGCATAATCAATGGTTTATTTTTTTCCCATCTATAGCTAGTCAATTCCAAATTTAGAATATAATGAAATACTTTTGATTTCTTCAATAAATTAGTATGTTCAAAACACGTGCAAACAATATATTACAACGAACGTATAAGTTATATATAAGGTATACACTTACCAGTCTTGCAAAGATCAGTCATAAGGCTATTAAGGACTTTTAAAGTTTATATAATTTTTACAGGATGCGCATGTAAAACAGGTTACCAAAGTCCTTTTCGATCATATTTTTACACACCGAGTTCGTCACTTTTACAGAATGATGCATCTCCCATCAACAACAATTATCAATAATGCAACGTATTTATTCCTAAATTATATAATAATTATTTGCATTTCAAATCATGCAATTTTTTTATTACAATAAAATTTAATTGAATATGAAAGGAAATTTCCATCGATCAAAATGATTGCTACGGCCTCATGCGTCCTCCGGGGCACGGACAGGATAAGTACATGTAAGTAAATAAGTAAAATGATTGCTAAGATAAAGGTTAGAATTTTAGCTTTTTATAAATATATATAGAGAGAGAGAGACTTAGAATCGACAATAGCTTGACGGTGCATTTATGGAATGAAATGCTTTCCGACATATGTACAGGTGTTCGTCACGTTTTGGCGCTTTAAAAAAAAGTTATTAGTATGCGGTTAACGATTGCCTCGACAACGTTAGAAGTTATGTTTAGTTTTCAAGATGTGCACATCATCAGTAGTAAAATTTAATAGTGCTCAAAGAAATGGATAAAACTTCTATCCCTTTGTCAATTGATCTGCAGAGTATGATCCCCACTATTTGTGCTATACACTGTAGATTAACCACACTTTGCACTTCTTGTTCAGCTTGCAAAAATATGTTTTTACCACATGAAGACTTAGGGATGACAAACAAAACAAAGGAATACTCTCTTTAAATGCCAGGGTACTGTATATGAATCATAAGTGCTAATTTAGACAATTTCAAACATGTAGCATTATCAAATATCCATTTTTCTCTATTAGTTTTGGAAACGCCCCAGCTTTCAGTAGCTTGTCCCGAGTTCGCTCATCTCCACCACCTTCTTCCAACATAACTTCCAGAAAATGAACTAGCTTCCATCTTGTAATTGTCGCCCGCGTGGCGTAGTGTTTTTATTGTCTGCCTTAGATTCGCGAAGTAAAGAGTTTATCCTTACATCGCGGGTTCTGATCCTACTGTGGGACGTGGAGAACGGTCTTTCAGATGAGACCGTATAAACCGAGGTCCCTTGTCGCAGTAGGTGCTGACACGAAAAAGATCCTTCAGTGCTCAAAGGCCCTGAAAGCCGAGTATAGGAGAAAATTTGCAGCTCTCCATCGGCAAGTGGTGGCGTCTCCATATAAATGAAAAATTCTCAAGAGGGACTTTAAACAATATACATGTAGAATCAATCAATCTAATTGCAAGGTTGAAAGGGTAGGTCTGCAGGAGGAGCATTCGCTCCAAGACCGAGAGGTCGTTGGTTCAAATCCCGGTCGCGTTTGAACTAGACGATAAAAACTAAGTAGCAACTGCTTCCTCTGCTAAGCGCCTAACACTTCTAAAAGAAAATTTTCGAATCTTTCATTTTAGATCTTTTAAAAAAAACGAAGCCCCGTCGTAGGAAGGCTTTGGCCAATAAACATCCTTCACTACAAGTAGTGCCAAGTATATTTCAAAATGATAAGCCAATCACCGGTCCCTATTTGATTAAAAAAAAATGTCGAAAGGGACGTAATCACCATTTAATCCATCAATCTACATGTACTTGACACTTGCAAAATCTGGTTGTTTGTGATGGCATCTCGATTACAAGCATAATCCGCCTCGAGTATTTTCTGTTCTGAAAACTTCTATTATTAATGTTTTGACACCGGGATCATAAAATATCTAAGCTTAAGTCGACAACTTTGTGTTGTACTTGAATGTTGTAGAAGTCAACCAATCCAAATATAATTTTTATTTTTTGCATCACGATTCCTCGAAAATGTTGCTATCTGCAAAGTTAAAGATTGAATCATCTATTACAAACATTGTAGAACCGATTAAAAGCTTGATTCAATTGTGTTTCATGATCCTAGAGCTAGCACGGTATAGGACTTAACATTTGCGAATTTGAAACTCCAATGGTATACAGAAGTAACGTTTTCTGCACAATAAGTCTTCTAGTCATAATGCCAAGTCACGCTTTTCTCCTCTTTTTTCTACCACGGCTGTTGTTTGTCATCAACTTCAACAAAAAGAATGAGGAACAATCTACAAAAGCTTTGTACAAGTACACGGAGAACGTTAGGAAGATGTAGACACCTTCAATACCTGTGTAGTATTGAAACATTAGAAAGTATTAGGCAGATAAGAATCAATGAAGACCGTGATGAGTCAGCCATCTGAAAAAAATTAAGTCTTCCTTTATTTTCATTAGGACAAAGCTTAGGATCATCAATAATAACGTTTCCTTTCGTTTAATTAACTTTCCTGTCGAGAAATTTTCACACATATTGAGACGCCATCAATTGCTTGAAGAGGAATGCAAATTGAGTTTACACTCGGTATTCAAAACCATTTAGCAGTGAAGGAACTTTTTGTGCAAGCACCTATTGCGACACATGTTCCCTAGTAGGATTTGAATTCACGACGTCTTCTTGTGCCATCACTTACTGCTATACAGGGCCTCGGATTATACGGTCTCATCTGAAGGACCGGTCTCCACGTTCCCTAGTAGGATTTGTATTCACGACGTCTTTTTGTGCCATCATCTACTACGACACAGGGCCTCAGGTTTTACGATCTCATCTGAAGGACCGGTCTTCACGTTCCCTGGTAGGATTTGAATTCATGATCACCTACTGAAAGAGGTCAACTGCTAACTTTCAGAGAGAATTCACGACGAAAGGATCAACTGCTAACTCCCTGAGCTCTAACGAATGTGCCACTTGGGCAACTCAGTAAAAATGTAAAATCAGTATAACTTTATGGATCAGGATGTACGCTGAAAACTCGATAAAAAGTACAAGGAAGGTGAAAGTGTTGTAGATCAATTCCAATGGACCAAATGCACTATGCAACAGCGACCTCGGAGGTTTGTCAGGACAGAAGACGTTGATTATGTAGGAAATTGCGAGAGAAAAATGGAACGTGATCGGTCTCATTCTTGGAAAAGATTATCATAATATCATCAGCGAAGCATCTTTTGTACAGCCGAAGCAAAATATATAGGAGCAGACCACAGATAACATGGCGAGGAACAGCTGTTAGCAACCCGAAACAAATAGGATTGTCGTGGAGAAAAGTGGAAGTAAGAAAAACGACATTGGGTTGGGTGGATGGGCTATATTGCAGCCGTATGTTCCAGCTGGCACGAACAGGACCAGGTAAGTTGTTTTCTTCACTCATTCTGTTACAAGAAGAAGTAGAACATGGACAAGACTCAACATTACATCATCGCGGTCCGTATATAGAAACTGATGACTTGATGATTGGAATCCTATACAAATCGGATTATGATTCATATTCTTCCAGTGAACTGAGTCAAAATCCTCATCCACATAAGGGAAATACGTGTAAAGTCATGCCCTCCATTTGTTTGCTTGATCAAAATTAAATAGTTGTTCTGTTATTTCCCTTCCAGATCATCTTCCTGAGTTTCGTTCCCTTCTAAGACTTCTGACATCTTTCCGGTTGAGAATCACTCGCGGATCGCGTTGGTTATTATTGTCAACAGGATCATTTCACGCCAGTTGTTGCAGTCACTTTGATCAGTCTTCTTGGAAATTTCTTTTCTCTCTCACTTTTAAATGTCATTGGTTAGAATTCTGCCACTCAATAATTTTTTTTTGTATTTCTTTAGTCAAACTATGGTTGGCTCAGTGTTGCAGTAGTCCAGGTCTTACCTAATCTACTCTTGTGGCTTTCAACTTCTCCTTTTGTTCGGTGCTGATCTTATCTTCCTGAATAAATTCCCTCTATCTCTTATATATGATTCATTCCCAAAAATTGATCAATAAGATTTTTCAGGAATTCATTCCCCTCATTTGTCCGAAATATCTTACGCTTTCCCTTTTTTACGATTTTGATATTTTACGTGCCAGTTTCCTGGCACGTAAAATATCAAAATCGTAAATAAGCCTGGATAACGTAAGATATTTCGGACTATCCCCCTTATTTAGGCAATCAGATTGTCATGGTTTAATATCTAACAGAAATCTTCACCCATCTTTCCATCTTTTGATTCTCTGTTTTCATCATTAAACTCAAAGAAATTTGTTCCCCTGTTTGACAACAGAGGAACTACGTCATGGTATATATCTTTAATCTTCCAATGCAGGTTGGGGATTTTGT